CTCCTTGGTAAGTGATTTGGGACAAAGACTGGTGAGGCCAAGATGGGAGCGCATCGCATCATCGCGCGCGACTACCCTGGCTAGTCGTTTGAGGGCCCTTCACATTTTCGTAAGATTTTTTATTTCGATTTACTTCTCTGAACCGATGAACTGTTTTTTTGGATTTCTGGACCTCTTGAAATAAATGGGGAATTGGATTTGGGGTAGGAGCATTTGAAGCTGCTCAAAGGAAGGCTCTGGGTAGGCCCACTAGTTGCCTCGAAGGCTGCGTTACCAATGATTCCTCACTTCCTGCTGAATCTTGAATGGAATTTTGAACAAGCCTTCATTGGCCGAAAGAAAAATGATTCAGGCTTGCTTAGTTTAGGCCTTCTAATCAATATTTTTTGAAAACTCAAGTAAACAGAACTAAGCTGATGTATAGAACCTGGGGCAATGATTATGATTCTCTCCAGAGCTGAAGGATGAACTCTTTTGGCGTGAATCAATCCCGTTTTGGGATCCACCTCGCATTCGACTTCGATTCAGAATCAAAGGGGCTGTTGAACGTGTACGTTGCAATGACTTGGGTGGCTAGCAGGTGCACAAGTCAGGGCCTTTATCCGGGAGACGGGCAGCAGGGACGGTTTTGTGAAATTGATCCGCCGCACGCGGCTGTCGCGGACGTCTATTACAGTTCTAGTGTTCCTCATACAGCTCAATCTCCATGCGATTATTATATTAGGCATAATCCTCCTGTTAGTTCTCCTGTTCCTGGACTTCTTACCTGCTACTGCATTCTGCTACATTCCTTCACGCGCGACGTCTCTCGCCGCGACGCGACAACTTTGTTCCTACTGCATCACACCCCCTTTATCCTCTAAGACGAGTCTGGTAGCTAATGACCGACTGTGGAAGGATGGACGGCTACTTAGGACTAGACGTGTAGGATTCGATTCTCAGACCATGCTTGGGGTGGTATGCGCTCTTTGCCACTACGCCACCTCCACCAGGAATGGTACTTAATCCAATCAGAAAGGAACGAAGATAGCTCGTCGAGAGCTGAAAGAAAGGGGTGCAAGAAGAAGGGCGTCTAACACATGCAGGACCAGTGGACAGGCCCCTCCTAGGCTTTGCAATTATCGGAGGCCAGCTCAGTGATGTCAAACTTGTCTGCTAATGCAATCGGAAAAAAGTTGCATCGAGGCAGCTTCGCTGATCACTTGCAGAGGCGATTGGATCTGGTAGGATGGAAAGACAATGAATACGTAAGCTGCTCGATAGATAAACCTGTTCCTGGTCTAAATTTGTACTGAGAAGCAACAGGTTGCTGTATGATATGCCCTACATTTATCATTTACTGCTTTAGCTCTATTGGTAAAACATAGGTAAATCATGCAGAAAATTCATCACTGTGAATAAGTTAGTGACTTCAACGTAAAAAAAATAGAACCTTCAGAACAAGTAATTTCAAAAATGTTATCAAAAACATCCGTTTTTGCCTGCAGAGTCTCTTGTCTGATTAAATAGGTTCTCTGACCCTTTCCAAGTTTGGGATGTTGTTTAACTTACTTCTACCCATGAAGTAGCCTATGGGCTTGTGTTTATTTTCGTTTTTTATTTTACAAGTTTTATAGCAGTACTGTATTTTTGATCGGCATTGTTTGTTGGAGGACTTAGGACGTAAACAAGCGAAGTAATGTGCCAAAAAGTAGGTATAAAATTTTGAGGATAATAAACAACCTTCCTGAGTTCAACAGGTCGAAGGCCATTGAAGTTGAAGTATTCGTGGTTGATAATGAATGATAATTGATGGTAATTTCTCATATTGGACAGGATGGGGAAGATCTGAGTTCAAGAACTTGGGGGTGGCAGTTCCAGTTTTTCTTATCCGCTTAGTGGCGAACGAGGGCTTTCAGACAAAGAATCCTTCAAGGAATTTAATTACCATTCAGTAAAACACGGTACAATGAAGAAATCAGCCGGTAATGAAGGGTCAGTCAATCCTCGTGGGATACGCCATGAGACGGACTTCTATTTGGTGTCCTGGAAGCATTTGAATGAGATCAAAGCCCGTACATTGAGTCATATGCCTCCGATTCCCTATAGAACATCTTCATTCTCCACAAATCCGATAGCTTGTATCCAGATTTGTAGGAATAGAAAATAATTCTTTCCGCCACATTAACGGGTAATAGCGATTTCTCTTGGACTGCTATTATTTACTTTCCCAATGGTATAGTTCTATTGCGTTTCATTCGTGCACTACAGTCAGGCAATCCTTTTGTGTGAGCTTCCCTTTTTCGGACTAAAAGTCAATGAGTGCTTTTTTTTCACCGTTTATGTGAATACGTCAGTTGTTCCGTACAATATTTCCGCCACATTAGTCACAACCGTTTTCTGATGTTTCTGCATCGGCTGAATTTCTGTGTAAAAATTTGATTTTCGTTTTATGAAGTGACTTTCAGCGCATTTGTGGGAGGGACTTAAGGCTTGAGTGGGCGGGGTTTGCACGTACGCCGCAGATCAAATGGGCCTTTTGACACAGTGGCGAATGTCGATGTGATTTCGGGATATTCTGTCAAAAAATCTTGAAAATGCTGTGATTTCTAAATGCTTGATAGGAAATGCGACTCAAACTCGGAATCGAAAGTTGCTCAGCACCTGCCCGGTCCAGTCTTTTCCCATTTTCCTCACTTAGACGATCGTCCTTTTTTCCTTGTCGTCTTCCCTTCGGAACCATCCCCCCCCCCNCAGTGTCTTGAAATCTTGGCCTGCAGGGAGAATGGATCACCGCCGAACTCTTAGCAATACGGTCCGTCGTCTTCCGATTTCCGTTTTGTTTTTACGCGCCTTCAGGAGAGCCGAGATAAAGCTGCGCGTACACATTGACCGCCCTAATCACCGTGTCTCCTAATTTCCGGTCTTGATTAAGTGCAGGTCGTGATGACTCGTCTAGTCGATGAGGTAGTGCGCGGATCGTACGACGGACGGACGGCGAATTGTTTGGTCTGTGGCGTTGCACACGGGCTCCCCCTCTACCCCCGTCGTCCCCCCATCGAATGTTGTGCGGACGAGCAAAGCACTGTGCCACCTCGGCATTTGGCTATATCCGATTTGTGTTTGCGTTGTGAGACACGTTTACTGCTCTATCCTGATTCAGTATCAGATCTACCGATGGGGTAGATCACTACCGTCTATGATCCTCATTTCATCACTTCACTTCATCACCTCTCTAATGGGGCATCATAACTTACTTCCTATGTATCAAGCTTTTCCCCAGGAAACGAGTTCATAACGACGGAACTCCCCTCCTCCCATCTGTTCTTCCCCGCACAACTGCTATCAGAAAGATTGCCTTTCATCACTACCGTCATAACCATCTTCATAACTATCGAAAAAATTTTCTTTCAGCTTCATTTTATTCATCGTTCTTTTGCGTTCTTCATCCTTTTGATCTCATCTTCATATCGATCGACGGGAAAATTCCATGATATGGATGAAAATCGTCAACTAATGAAAATCGTCAACTATGGATCGATATACAATGCGAAACGTTTACAAATTGGATCAATCAGCAGGTGCCTATTATATTTCAAAAACGCCCGACGTCACTATGCCCGTTATCCATGTGTGTAGCTATGCTTTCACGTCGCCATCTTTTTAGTAATACCCCATAACTTCCATAAAAACTCGTCCAACATTTTTGCAAATTTGCACTTTTATTAACTTAATTTTAAGCTTCATTCAATCAAATTTTTAATTATACATATTTATTACACGGGTATGAACTTTCAAATTATATTTGTTTATTGTATGAGCCTAAACTTGTATGAAGAAGGTTAACCCTGCAAAAACTACAACAATAACAACTTGATCCTACGATTGTTGCAATGCCAACGTGACAAATTGGGTAAAAAAAGGTTTTCCGTTGAGAGGGGATGGTCTTGGAGGGTTGGAGGGACATAGGGGACATCACAATTCCTTCTAAGGGCACATTATGACATGCCGGGTTATTAGAAGCTTTCCGCATAGGTCCCACCTTGTGGAACTTGTTTTAGTGGTAATTTCTACAAAGTAAGGTGAAGCTTTAAAACTTTGAGGTAGCGGATTTTGGCGATTCAAAATATCAATATAAAATTATGAAGATCCTTCCCCTTACTACTATCATTCCCCCTACTCAATCAGCCCCGATCGATTTCGTTCTAACGAGTAAGTATCAAATTTTTGTTTACAAATGTCTCCTAATAAGTGCGTTGATGTGTGCGTAGTGATGGAGAGCTGGACTAGCTCGAGCTACCTCGACTGGTCATTATTGACATGTGACCGGCTATCTCTCACACTAGGATTTGACGGTTTACTGACTTTGAGGACTATGTCAACAAAGCATAGCCCATTCGGGAGTCTAAAACTGTTTCTTTGAAGATTTTTCTGTTTTCCCACTTCGTAGAGGGTTTGTTGAGGATTAGTGATCTAACAAAAAGGTCTAATCAAATGGACAGGCTAAAAGTACACCCGGATGACGTCATGCGCGCCATCACTTTCATCCAAGAGTAGCTATTGATTTTACGCGTACGTGACCAAATCTTGTCGGTTTCATCGCTTAGGTTAATTCACGGTAACTATTATGCAGGACAAGGTTAGGTAGTACCAACTACCGCTGCCAGTACTACCATATGCATGGTCCCGGGATCGAATTCCAGATCTCTATCCACTTGGGTCATTCAGGCCTTCCATCTCTTCGGGGTCGCTATTCGGTACCAAATCGGTCTGGGGGGTGAAAAACCTTTTTTGATCACCGGCTGGGCCCAGCAAGTCATTATATAGACCACATATGCACTCAAACGCCTCTGAGATTCCGAATGGGCGGTGGGTGCGTGGCGCATCTTAAGAGAAGTTGTCAACGCCGAAAAGCTTCAAACGTCTGCCTTCTAGGTAGCCGATGGAATGTCATTAAAATGAAAATTCCATTCCAATCTCTTTTTATGGGATGTTCATCATTTGAACAGGTTTTCTTTCAGATAGAAGGTCCGAAAATCTCGGATCTATCACGTGATCTCGCTAATGGCGTTGTTCTGATTCGATTGATTGAATCACTTCAAGGACGAAAATATTATGGAAAGGTGATCATTGGAAATTCCATTCCAATCTCTTTTTATGGGATGTTCATCATTTGAACAGGTTTTCTTTCAGATAGAAGGTCCGAAAATCTCGGATCTATCACGTGATCTCGCTAATGGCGTTGTACTGATTCGATTGATTGAATCACTTCAAGGACGAAAATATTATGGAAAGGTGATCATTGGATTTAATTGTATTGTTTATATCAAAGGTTATCTTATCCTATTACAGCTCTGTTTACTATTACAGGACTTACTTCGGCCAATTTTTAGGCCTTTTTGCCATGCCTAATATCTGCCCTTAACTGTAGTACGTTGAATACTAGCAAATATTTGTAAGTATTTTTGACATTTTGTTTTGTCGAAATGATCAGAGAAGGGAGGGAGGGGGCCTAGCGACAGATGCAGCCCTTAAATTACTGTCCAGGGATCAAATATCTCGAAGGTCACCGAGCGTAGATAAATTTAATGCTGTGGCTTTGCCAAAGATGATCAGATGGAACCAAAATACATATGTGTGGGACATAATCACTGATTTGTGAAGCAGTTGACCCAAATAAGTGATAGTGAAGTCCCAATCTCCATTCAACCGCTTCTACAATATTCGATAGAAGTGCAATACATGGCGCGCACCACAGAATTAGACCGGTCAAGAACTAGACTTGGACGCTTTTGATTTACCTTTGATCCTCTAAGTTGCAGTCAGAAATGCATTCTCCCTTCTTCCTACCCCCCACCATACGATCACCTTCTGATGCGACTTTTAACTTTTACTATAGTCTGTAGTTTACAAATAAGTAATCACTAACAAGTATTTAGGTTCCCTCTCCAGGTACTCTCTTCATTGACAAGTTATTCTTGCTTCCTTTATTTGGCCTTACCTCGCAGTTACTGTTTTCGGCAGGTCGTGGATTGTATCGGGTAGACCCTCTACTGCAGTTCCCTTCTCGCCCGAACGGGCGGGCTCCCGAATAAGGAGTGGCACATGAGCTGTCATTCAGTTTGATGTCACCTTGTCGACACGTCCTTCTCTCTGATCTCTGTTTCTCTCATCCCTTTTCTTTCTCTCTTTCTTTCGTTCTCACTCCCTCTCTTTCTCTCTCTTCCTCTTTCTGATCCTACTCTCTTGAAAGCGACTGACATAAAGGCAGTTTCAGATTTATGAAGATGAGCCGACGGAGATACAAATGTTACTCAATGTACAAATGGCGTTAGACGCTCTCAGAGAAGATGGTATCAAGACTGTCAATATTGGTAATAACTTTACTAATTACTATTACTATCTACTACATAGATCCTATAGAAAGTTCGCAGAACTTGAAAAGTTTTGAACCAGTAGGATTCGCGGTAACCTCTCTTGAGCAACTTTTATCTGGCATTCCTTCTTTTTATTCTATTTAAGTGACTTCAAATTAAATTTTCCCTTCATATAGCTGTGCAATTGCTATGACGGCTCCTTTATATTTCCCGTTTCAATTTTTACTGTGGGAATTCTAGCATTTCTTTTTGGCCGTAACTACGTTTACTACTTTATATTCCCGAAGCATTGAAGTCATCGGCTGGAATAGTTTCCTTGGGAATACATCGAAATACAAATGGGGGTGGAGTTGGTTGGTTGTTTGCGGGTTTCAGCTAAGGCGATTTCATTGTTGACCCAGACGTTGAACTTGACCGCTTCCTCACGCATGTCTGCACTGCCCCGAAGAAACACATCCCATAAGGGACCATCGTTCTTTTCAGGAAGCCATGATGTGGTCGAAGGCAATACAAAACTTATACTTGGTTTGATATGGTGTCTTATACAACGATATCAAATCGCATCACGTAGTAAAATACCACCGAAAAAACTGGTCATGGCTTGGATTCAGGTGCGTCAGTAGTAGTTTCCAACTTAACTACTTAATTTATCTCAAATTGGGTACTTTTGTAACTACAAGTTACTGGTATTAGTTCCTGGTCCCGTGCCCGGAACAAATCGCATGTGGCATGTCGCGCGGCTAATACCTGAGACAACTAACTAGGTCATGACGCTCAGCGAGGCAACTAGCTAGGTGTCCCCGCATCCGCATTGGTATTAGTGCCCATTATACTCCTTTTTCAATTTCTTCTTCACCTTACAATGGAAAATATTCGCATTTTGTGTGTGGCATATTGCGAACACAATTCCATTGTTCCAGTCAGTTCTACCAGAAATGAAGCTCACAAATTTTCGAACGAATTGGAACGATGGACGAGCGTTGAGCGCTTTATTGGAATACTGCCAGCCAGGTTTGTGTCCTGAATGGAAAGGATTAGATCCCGCAAAAGGGTGAGTACTCAAGAAATATGTATAAATCCTTTTCATTCAAAAGGTCATCCAAAAGATATCTTTAGGCTGGCAAATTGTGAACGTGCTCTGAAACTTGCAAAGGAATACTTAAATATCCCACCGATTATATCAGCAGCGCACCTGAACAGCCCCCACTTGGACGAGTTGTCGTGTATCACATATTTATCATATTTTATAATGAGAGGAGCATGCGGTTATCAAGCAACACTACGACGGGTTCAAACGGTAGGTGTTTTTTTATAATTAGCGGCTAATTTTTTGATATTCAAAACTTTTGGGCATTTGGGCGGAGCCACTTGTCTCCGCCCATTTGCCACAGTATGGTTACTTGATGATTAACATATGCAACTGTATTTTTTGTGGGTGGTATCAAATAGTTTCGCTTTTGCACCCAGCCTGATCGTGCTAGTAGAGGAATGTTACTCCAGTAGTAATCTTTCTTCAAGGAAACCAGAGCTATTAAGCGTTATTACTGCAGTATTCTCGCTTTGTGGGTAGTTCGTATTCGATCCGATTCTTCTTGAACCGTTACTTTTTCCTGTTCTCTTCAGCGGGAGGTGTTCTCAGTCGCTACCCTGCGTACGCTCAGTACATACAATTACCATTTTCATTGGCCATCAGTCTCTTTACTCCATAGTTACTTCGAAACAGTACAGTGATGATGCAAAGTGATAGGATGCCATTCAAAGTTACGATGATTTCAGTTTTCAGAACTTGTTATTTACCGCAACCACATTAAAACAACTTTTATATCATGTTTACAAGCTACCCCAGTGTTTATCATGACTTCACATGGACTTGCTACTCATAGGAGCAGTCTAAAGGCTGTCGCTAAATCCTTCAGGGGTTCATCAATCACGTTTTTGGGATAAGCCTAGCGTTAGACTTGCAGTCTGAATCGTGATGACGTTTTGAACGCATATGTGGCCTATGGCTACAATGTCTTGTAGTTGTCGACCGATGTCGAGGTCACTGCTTCTATCCTTCCGATAAGCTTGGGTGGATGCCAACTGATCCCAAATGTTTGGAAGGCTTTGTTGTTTTGAGGGGGACCGATCCGCGGTGTTCAGCCCCACGAAAATCCCTCGGCTGTATAGTACCAACATAAACTATGATTTAGTTTCTGTACATATTCCTAAATCAGTCGTAGCTCATTCATAAAAGATCTCTGCTTCATGTACAATAAGTTCTCCATCGGTTGGCTATTTGCATCTGCACGAAGATTCAGCATTCTCCTGAGGATCTGAATAATTTTTACGAGGGATCCAGTGTTGTTTCTCAGGTGTAGTGCCGTAGTAACGAAATCGTCGCGTCGCGGCGAGAGGGATGCCGCGCGCGAAGGAATGTAGCAGAATGCGGCAGCGGGTAAGAAATACAGGAACAAAGGAACTAACACTAGGGTCATGCCATAAGTAATAATCGCATAGCGGTTGAGCTATATGAAAAAATGCTAGAACCGTTATAACAAGGCAAATGGT